CTCTGGTCACTGAAGTTACAAGTGTCTTAAGTAATAATTTGGCATCCAAGAACATCCCCAAGCCCCATGCCTAGTTCTGAAGAGGGAATGCAATCTATCCAACAATAGAATTGGGCCAGTTGATGGATATAACTATTGTTTGACCCAATGCTGCCCATCTTCCAGGGATTCAGCCTTCTTGTATTGAATTTCATTGAGCGTGTTGCAGCCTGTACAGAGTGATGCAGCAGTTTTCCTGTCACTTCTGGTTCAAAAGGAAAAGTGTGTGTGTGTGTGACTTCCTTATTGATGAAACTTCACTCCAGCCTCTAAACAATTTTTTCCAGTGGTTTCATATGGATATTAAATAGCATAGTAATAATAAATAGGGGGATAATATTGAGTCTTGTGAAACTATACAGCACAATTGCAGGGGGACCAAACAGAAGATCTCCAGCAGTTCTGTGGGGGATCCTCCCCTGGATAGGAATTCAGTCACTAAAGTATAGTGCTTCCATTTCCCAACTCATGGAGCTAGCCCAATAGGTTTTAGTGAACTATGGTGTCAAAACCTGCCATGAGATCAAAATATGAGTGGCTCTCCCATTGTCTCTTTAAAAGGCCATGTGCCAGGCTGACCAAAATATTTGTGCCGAAACCATCTCTAAAACTAGTCTATGACAAAAAAAATCATCCAGAATTTGTTGTAGTTCAATCACCACACTCAAATTATTTTGGCCCAGAAAGTAATACTAGGAGACAAGGCTTGAGAAAAACCCTAGAATCAGAGAATTTCTTTTTAGGAGATGCTGTATCATTTATACTTTAAACTCTATAAATTTCATTGTTTCCATTACTGGTGTATTCACCACTATCTCTATGCAGTGTGACATACATGCTTAATTAAAAATTATAAAAGGCAAGGATCAAGAAAGCAGTGCCTGCAAGGTCCGTGTCCAGTTTTTTTCAGGCCTCAAGTGGCTGGAAACTCATCTTTCAATAAATAATCATGTAGTTTCTCTACTTCTGGTTTAGCGCCCAGTTTAGTGCAGATCTGAGCAAGTTTGACTATAAAATGCATCACAAACCAATGCATTGCTTCTCCAAACTGGAATCCAGTTGATTTGTTTCACCAATTCTTCCCATATCTTTAACTGCCCAGAAATCTCTTCTGAGAGGTTCACTGCAGGTAAATAGTTATAAGGGCTGAAGCTTATATCTTTTGACTTGGAGAAATGGGAGGAAAAAAGCCTCTACTCTAAATCTCTAATAGATCTTAAAATGTGCACTACAACATGCAAATCCTCTTCTTTTACACAAATTCATTTTTTTGTACACAATAAAAAAGTGATCTATCTTTGTCGTGTCTGTGAACTTCTACTTAAACAAGTTTCTCAATACAGGCTTGAGTATCTAGAAAATCAAGATTTATTGCTAATATGCCTAATATGTCCTATTTCCATAACTACAACATATTATACATTTATCTGTGCTCAGTCATATTCGGATTAAATATGTGCCATCTGCACTCTGCATCCTCCATTGTTTTGTGCTCCTTAGTAAAAATGAGGGGGTATTTTGTAAATCACCTAAGCCTTCTCCTTACAGGTAGCCCTTGACTTAAATTGTAGTTGGGACTGGAATTTCCATCACTAAATGATGCAGTCAGAAAGCAAATATCACATTGCCATGTTACTTAAGAGACCACACATATTACCTAGTGACCACAATTCCTACATTCCTCATTGTCTTTGTAACCCAAAGATGTGTGGGTTGTTAAGATAAGGCAGGAGTCCAAGATAGGGAGCATGGGGCTACTGTGGGGAGGTGAGGAGTCCTGGAAGTGCCACCATATGTCACACATGACTTGGAGGAAGGGGGATGCTGCAGTGCAACACAAACTAGGAAGGCCAAGAAAGGAATATGCTGCGGCTCACATGCTTCCTGGCCCATTGTGGTTCTGAAAATTCAAAAAGGCCCTGAGCTGCAGTGCAAAGCTTAACTCCAGCCCAGCCCAACAAGTGCACCACAAGGGATTTCTGCAAAGGTACTATGCACCAGGAAGCCCCAGCCCAAATTCAGGCATCATTGCCTTTGGCATCTTGCACTTAGAGGTCCCTGCTGCATTATGCTCTGCAACTGCAGTTGACCTTTGCCACCATCTTCCTCCTGCTGGCTGGGGATCATTCGGTGGTGGGTAAGGGTGCAGTCCTGGCACGCATGCTCTTCCAAAGCTTTGCTCCTGAAAGCATCTCCTGCAAAGCTTCCCCCCAAACAGCAACTCCCACACAGTCTTCACCTTCATCTTGGCAGTCACTGCTGGGATTGCATCATCTGGTGATAAAGAGGGCCGCTGCCCTACGATGCTCACCACATAAATCCCAGCACTGCACTTTCACTCGACTTAGGTCCTGGGCCAGCAACACCAGGAAGAAGATAGAGAAGGTCAGCAGGGATATGTGATGGAGTGCAGGGCATCCAAAAGGAAAGAGATGGGTGGAAGACAGATGGGTAGAAGTACCCTGAGATTTTACGTATTGGTGGGCCCAAATTTTGATCACCTGACCATGGGGGCACTGCAAGAGCCATAACATCAAGCACTGTAGGTTCATTTTTTTCAGCACTGTCATAAGTTTAAATGGTCGTTGAAAGTATGTCAAGGACTATCTGTTGCATAGTAAGGTTAAGGCTTCAGCAGGAACTCCAGTTATACCTGTTGAAAAAAGTTTTATAAAGGAAATCATGTTTTTATTCTATAGGGCATTTTTTTTCTTTCCTTGTGATCATCTCCAAATATATTTAATTTCACTCTGATATTGTCAAACATCACACTTTATCAGTATCATCTCCTATTCCTAACACTAAAGATATAATCACATATCTTACATGCTGATAACAGTCTTCCTTCACAAACGATTGCTTGATAAATAAACTAGTTTATTTCCAGATAGGTCTTTCCATTATTTCCAGACCCTGTGTTCATAGCAGTCTGCCCATAGGGATGAGTAGAAATAACAAAATATATTTTTCTTTACACAGATTTCCTTGTTTGCTCTCTTTGGACTCATTACTTGGATCTAGTGCAGTGATTCTCAACCTTTCTAATGCCGTGACCCCATAATACAGTTCCCCATGTTGTGGTGACCCCCAAGTGGGTGTGGCCACCAATAAGAGGGAGTAGGACAGCTAGGGAAAAGGGAAAAAAATGGCGGACAGCATGGTTTGGTGACCCCCGTGAAATGGTCATTCGACCCCAAATGGGGTCCCGACCCACAGGTTGAGAACCACTGATCTAGTGTTACATTGTTGTTTATCTGGAGTCCTTAAATATACCTTAAGTTATGTAATAAAATTGTTATTCTTTCTTTGATTTGAAAGAACATGGTATCAAATGTTATAGTTAAGTATTTTTTCTATTTATGCATTTTCTTATTTGCAGTATCTTATAATGTGATCAGTTATAATAGATGGCTTGTTCAATAGAAGAATTTGCCTGTTTTAATCAGAAATGATACAAATTATTCAGTTGATATGCAGGTCAACTTCATACACCTAGGTTGATGCATCATCATTTTAGCAAAAAAAATATATGCATTGTGAGGGATACAATTTTTTTAAAAAAAATCTTAAAATTTGGAATTATTTTAAGCATTCCACTTTTCAGAACTAAAAGTCCTGTTTCATAATTTTTATTCTGTAATCCCTGTAAATCTTTTGAGATAATCTTCAATCCTGATGTCTGTGAATGAACACAAATATACAGTTGTTTTCAGGAGTTGCCATTAAATTAACTGACAATCTAGTAAACCTAGATACATATATGACTACATATAGAAAGATGCATATGCTCAAGGTCACTTAAGAAGGGCTCCTTTTTTCTCTTAAATGTTACTAAATTATTAACACTTGTTTGTACAACTAAATGAATTGGAACATGAACAAAATATACTGTACTTCATCATGCTTACTGTAAAATGATGCTTTTCCTTCCTGAAAATTCTAGGGTATATCTGATATTGTCAGTCAATATATCCCAAGTTCATCATTGAGTATATATGTTAAAGAGTTAGTAAGGATATCTAGAAATGTAACCAGATTTAGATTTGTTTACATTCCATAATTTTGAAACTGGTCTGCCTTGCTGGCTTCAGCAGAATGCTTCCTTTTGCTCTACCCTACCCTACTATCCACAGATCTACTGCTTGCTTTTTACTGACATTGCATTTCCAGTTTGAAACAGGTGTTTGTTTCATCTGCATTTGCTTGTGGTGCTCCTTTTTGGAGATTTCTTGGGGAAGCCGCTGGGAATAGTGGCTTATTTGGGCAGAGAGGGGCATCTGTCACAACTTGTATAATATTTACATGGAAAATGTCTTTCTCAAAGGCTTTCGGTGCCCCATGTTTTACAGTACATGAACAGTTGGCTAGTCCAGGTGTTTCCTCTACTCTTTGCGTGATATGTGACTTGGAAATTCAAGAGAAGAGTTGGCAGAATGGAAGAGCTAAGGGTTTGTATTTACCTATTCTAACTGTTTAGGAGATAGAAGGGTTTGGGACACAACAAACAGCTTCCTCTTCCCCTTCCTGGAAAATATATTTTTGAACTGAGGTGTTAAATCAATAGACTTTAATGACTTAATCAGACTGCAATAAAGCATTAATCAGTTTTTGTTTTTAGCCAAAAGCCTGAAAATACTACCTTACCATCATGTAGGTTTAAACGCCACTATATATATATATATATATATATATATATATATATATATATATATATATATATATATATATATATATATATATATTAGACATTACAATTGTAGTGCACCTAAATTTCAAATTTTAAAGCTAAATGGTTCTTAAAATTATATTTAAAGATTAAAAATTAATGGTAACTTTTTGTTTTATTCACTCCTAAATGCGTTTGGTATTTTATTACTGTTATTTTTTACCATTACTATTACATTACAGTTAGCTTTCCTAAAATAGATCAGATCCCTAACATGCTTTGTGTCTTTTTACAGGACAGTCGGCCCAATATGTCAAGACCTCTGATCACTAGGTCCCCTGCATCTCCTTTGAACAATCAAGGCATCCCCACACCAGCACAACTCACAAAATCCAATGCACCGGTTCATATTGATGTGGGTGGGCACATGTACACCAGCAGCTTGGCCACATTAACTAAATATCCTGAATCAAGGTAATTCTGAGGACTATGTTGCATTTTTCCAGAAAATATGTTAACTTGCTCCCTTTCTTCTTTCAACGTTTATGCTAAATCTTTATTTGGAATTAAATATTTTCACTTGAAAATGTGCCCTAAGTTTCTGAGTGCCTTAAACTGGTTGTTGGAAAACATTTTACTAAAGGAAACCCAACAGTATTTCTTTGCTTAAGAGCCATTTAATTTGCATCATCTGTCTACATTACATCACTGCATGTTATATCTTATATTACTTTTTCAATATGTCTCCTGATAACTTGTGTCATTTCTGTGCCATTATGTTTTGATGGGAGGCTACTTAGTATTTATCATAACTAATGATGCAACTGTTAAAAAATCAGAATAGTATTTTAGGATGCACTAACAAGAGCGTAGAGTCCAAACCATAGGAAGTCATTTTCCTATGTGACTCTGTCTTATGCAGAGGACAGTGCAAAAAATGCAGTAACTAAGTAAAGCAAGTCCAGCAGAGGCCTTCCAAGATTAAGGATCGGGAAACTAAGTGCTATGAGAACAGTTGAGGGCTTTAGGCATGATTAGCCTATTGAAAAGAACTGAGGGAAAACATGATAAATTCAGATATCTTAAGGAACATGTGTATACAGAAGAGGGAGTGGACATACTTTCCATTGCTCAAAGGACAGTGCCAGAATCAGTGGATTAAAATTATAAGGAAGTAAGTTCAACTAGGTATTGGGAGGACTTTTGAAACTGTACAAGCTATCAGCCAGTGGAACAGACTACCATATGATACAGTAAGTTCTCTTTTATAGTAAGTCTTCAGACAAAGGCTGGATGATCATCTGCTACAGATATAGTGGATCCTTCATTGAGTAATGGGTTGGACTAAATGAACTTGTTTCGAATGCTATAATTTTATTATTCTATTTTACAATAAAGTGGCTTTTGCACTGTTGTTCTTTTCATATGGATGTCTGGATTTTTCAGACAACAGATGTATTAATCAAGGGCCTGCCCTAAAACATTCTCTTGCTGTCTAAATCAAAGCTATCCAGTCAGTTATAACAAGAAAAAGATGCTGCTTGAAGCTTTTTTATTCCAGAACTCTTTAGACTAAGTTGCCTCAAAATAATTATGATAGTTGCTAGACTTTTCTGTGTGGCTCCACAAAACTAATAAAAGCAGCACGTTTGTAATACCAGCAACACACAGTTTTTAAACCATTCAGGCAAAAAGAAAAAACCAGCAAAAAGGAAGAGGAACAGTTCTCTTATTCTAGCCTAACAGCACAAGCTATTATAGTCTCCAGTAATCAAAAGATAAGAATTAAAAAGAGATTATTAATTAAATACTGTTTATTTCATCAGATTCTCAATAACTCACAAATTGATGGCTAAGTGAAACCATGACTGCTTACAAACTTATTTCAGCTTTCCTTTACTTTACAGACCTGCAAAGGTCATAAATGCAAAGATTGGTTGTAAAGTTCATCACTTTCATAACTGTAAGCAGTTACTAAATGAGGCAGTCAGTAAAGGAGAATTGCCGGTAACATTACTTCTGCTCAAAATCAACTGTGCCTGTTGTGACTGACTATTCTTGTTACATATTTCTGCTGTTTTAATTCGGAGGGTAACTAATTTACAAGTGTTTATTTAGCTTTGATAGATAAAAGCAAATTGTGAAGTAACCAAATATATTAATATATTCTCTTGCATCAGTTTTCTTTTCTGCAGAAATATTGCATTTTTTTATTTTCAGAAAACATTATTAAAATCTGTTGATGACAGATTGGGTGAAGGATTGTAGATTTCTAGCATTTGGATTTAGAATGCACTATTTCCACTTCTTTTATAAAATGTGAAAATTGTAGAATTTGTAGGGAGAGCATAATATAATGGAGAAACAAAAAATAATGAAGTCCCTGAAATACTTGACATAATAAAGCAACAGCAGAGTGGAGTATTCTGTTTAAAAAACTCAAATTTTGTCCAGCTGGAGTATATTGTTTCTCTTGGGTGATTGATCCAGTCTAACAAAAAATCATAATATATACTATGTATTATATACTGTAACTACATAACATCATATATAATACTTATATAATAATACACGTAAGTATACAGCGACTTAATTCTTTTCTGACTAATAAATATGCATAAATGTTAAGGTAAATGTAATGATTTGGCTCACTAAGAGAACCCTATTGGCTATTTTGCTATGTTAGTTTTCTATTTCTTTTATCCTATTGCAACCAAAATCTTGGAAGGGTTTTTCACAATATAAGTTGTTTTCATTTTGTCTTACCTTCACAGTCCAGTCGGGTATATCAAATATGCCTTCTAGCAGTTAGCATACATTTTAATTGCTAGCATTAGTTGCATTATTCAATTTAACATGCCTTCATTTTATAAAAAAACTATATAATGTGATTTTGTTTTAAATTTCTTGTTTGATCTTTGAAATATCTATATTTGTCTTGTTAAATATAATATCACTATTAGAATTGGGAATAAAAGTGTTACACTGTTTCCACAAATTGGTCTCTGCCCTTTTCAGAGAAATTTAACATTTTAGCTCTATATTCTTTGGCATTAAATTTTTATAAAAGTCATCTTAGCTATGACTGATAGAGAAGAGCTATGTTAAAATAGGTAAGGAGTTATATTATACAGGTAGTCCTCACTTAATAATTGCAATTGTTGGGACCAGCAACTCTATTGCTAAAATGATCATTAAATGAACCATTACATGACTGTGGCAGACTTATGACATCAGTTCTATTGCAGTTGTTAAGTGAATTACCTTACACCAGTGGCTCCCAACCTTTTCTATATCCCTCACCCCTAGAACGCTTTTGATATATTCTCGCACCCCTTACAAAAGTTTGAAATAATGGCAATGAATTATGCATATACACTATAATTTTGAAAACCCAAGTTTTCGCACCCCCTGGAATATCATCTCGCACCCCTGGTTGGGAACCCCTGCCTTACACTATATAGCATGGTGACCATGACTTATTGCTTGGTGGAAGCCAGCTGTGAAGCACACAAATACTAATCTCTTGAGAACAAGGTTGCTACAATCATCATAAGTTTTAGGACTGATTGTCTTTTCTTTAGAAAAGCTCAGAACAATTTATATAATACTTTTATCTCCAGTTTTGTCCCCACAATTATTCTACCTTAGATGCTAATACAGCTTTTTTATTTAAAACTGAAGTAAAGGCAACTCTGGCTTCTTCATGACTCCTCATTCATTATTCTCCTCTCCCCTTCCTTTGCCATTGTTTGTGAGGAAGTCAGCACATGTGCCTTTTATCATATTTCAGAGTTTCAATCCCAATATTTTAAAAGATATAAGTAAAAGAATTTCTCCCTACCTGCTTCTTTTAAAATGGAGTTTCTATAAAAGATATGACCTCTATAAATACGTTGAATAGCAGATATTTATACTGCTACTGTCAATAGGCAGAATACCTACTACTTACAGGTTTTGGCCATAATTCTTTAGTATTTTGAAGCATAATAATTAAATATTTCATTCTGAGAAATATTTCTAAACTGCATGCAGTACATTTCCAAATTAAAAATCTTATGCAGGTATTTCCTAAATTGCTATATAGTTGCTAAGTAATTTAATGTACAATGTGTATATAATTGTAGTACTAAACAGACGTGGTAGCTTTGCAGCCAACACCCATGGCCACCCACAAGCATGTTTGAAGCTTCAGGATATAGCTGCCAAGTTCCAGAAGATTTCTGGCTGGCTCTGGTCCACCTTTTTGTTGGCTTTGTGTATGGAAAGGTTTATTCTTTGAGGGATTTGTTTACAAGTGCTTAGTTAAAGTGGACTGTGAAAAGATGAAGATCTTTTGAGTTGGATGCCATTTTCTTCAAACTGATATTTTAACAATCAAAACTTTATTTAATTATATGTAGCGCTGAGGACTACATATCAATCACCTCCTCTTTTTAGTTTTTCTATTGTTGTTGCCACTCTTTGCAGGGCCCACATGGTTTTTATATGACTGTTGCTGCAGGCTGATATATGTGCCCAGGACAGCACATTTCTCTAGATTCTATGAGTGCATTTTTGAGAGCATCATCTAATATAAATTTTAATCTGTTATTTTAAAGTAGTTAAGCCTGTCTTTTAAAAAAAAGTACTCAAGGTGATCAAAATTTTAATTGCCACTGCAAGTTTTTCCTACTAATGAATAAAACTTTTAGCATAAATAAATAACTCCTTGGGTTCTTAGCAGTGGCCATACTAGTTTGGATGTGAGAGTTGGTCCATATAGCATCAAGTTTGGAAAAACTGATGTATTCAGTTTAAAATAAAATAGAAGCTAGGGAGATGATGTCTGTAGATCTTGGTATGCTTTTCTACTGTCATAGATTGGGATAAATCAGACTGAATATCTTGATGCCATTTAAATTCTAGTTGGACAATTCAAATCCCTTTTGATAAAATGCTTCCCTTCAACCAAAGGGGATAAAATATATGCAAAAGGCCCTGACCAAGAAACACAGTGTTTGTCCCCCAAAACTCTTACAGAATATATTGAAAATCTGTAAGGCGGCTATGCAACAAAAAAAGTTATCCCTGCAGTTAGGGAAAATTTTATTAACAAAGCAAGCCAATAATAGGCAAATAGGCAGAAATTAAAATAAGTTTAGTTGGAAAAAAATGAAATAGAAAAAAATGAAAGACAATACATTGCATTAAAAATCTAGATTAAAAACTGAATACAATTGATTGCAGAGAGGATTATATGAGGGATCTTGGAGTCCTATTTAAATGTTTGAGTAAATAGAATCTGTGGTAAGTGAAAGCTAGTTGCTAATGGAAGTGGTTTGAATATCATGTTTAGTTTCTGATGTCAATAGCCTAGACAGTAAAATCAGGAAAATTATTTACCTATTGATCTCAGCTTCTCATCTCTACTGTATTCTTGGATGATAAAGGAACTGGACTGTTCTAACTGAATAAAGTTTTGTGAGAAAGAC